TTTTTGGCCACAAATGTACTGTGTACGCTTATTGACAATGGTGGTGGGGCAACGTGTCAGTTCTGCTTCCATATAAATGGTCCATGTAAATATAATGTTTTTAAGACTGACCTTAAGTCAAAGTAACTTTGCTAAACTCACTGATTAATTCTAATGATTTATATGTAAATCCATTTCAATTTTCTATGTATTCAATCATATTAACTGAGAATAATGAGCTTTGTTTTTCATTTTGCTAACCTTCACACCTTTGTTTCCTACTCTTGTGCCATTGCACTGGCTAGGATCTATACTGCAACGTTGACATGAGTATGTGATGGGGCATATTGTCCGTCCTGGTTTCAGCAGGAAAGCTTTTGATTCTCCATCAGTCACTATGAGGTTTGATGTAGATTATGTTCTAAATACTCTTTGTCAGATTAAGAAAACTTTATTCTTACTTCAAGAGTTATTATCATAAGTAGATTTTAAATTTTGTTAAATACTTCTTCTCATTTATTAAAAGGATCATATGGCTCCCCACTTCCCCCTTATACTCTTAACATGGTGATTTCATTACTGGTTGTCAATATTCAGGCATTCCTGTTTTGTTTTTTTTTTTGTCTTTAAAATAAAATATACACATCTGTGTGTAGAAGAAAGAGAAGTATACAGAAATGTGCATAGTGGTTTCAGAGTTGTGCTTGCTCTTTTTTCTTATCTGTTTTCTGTTATTTCTTATTTATTTATTTATATTAACATATAATGTATTATTGGCCCCAGGGGTACAGGTCTGTGAATCACCAGGTTTACACTTCACAGCACTCACTCCTGTTTTCTTTTTCCTTGAGTTCCCAAGAATGGAACTGCTGGATTACGTGTTAAGTATATTTTTACTTTTATAAGAAATCACCAGATTGTTTTGCAATGTATAAGGATTCTTATTATTCCAGAATCTTCCCAATACTTAGCAATAACCTCTTTTTTATTTTGCCATTCTGGTGACTATGAAATACTTCGTACTGTTTTAATTTGCGGTTCTTTGATGACTCATAATGCTGAAAATCTTTTCAGAGGCTGATTGGCCATTCCTTTTTTCCCCCACAGCTATATTGAGGTATGATTGACAAAAATTGTATATATTTAAGGTGTAAATTTTGATATTTTGTTGTATGTGTATGTTCTATGATGACCACAATCAAGCTACGGAACATAACTATCACTTCATGTCATTATCTTTTGTGCGTGTGGTGAGAATGTTTGCCATCCACTTTCTTTGTAACTTTCTTGAATGCGGTATATTATTATTATTATTATTTAGAATACAGTATATTATTAACTATAGTCACCATATATATGTCTCTTATATAGGTCTCTTACTCATATATAGGTCTCTTACTCATCTTTTTTTGAACTTACACATTTTTTTTTAAGAATTTTTTATTTGACAGACAGAAATCACAAGTAGGCAGAGAGGCAGACAGACAGAGGGAAGCAGGTTCCCCACCAAGCAGAGAGCCTGATGCAGGGCTCGATTCCAGGTCCCTGAGATCATGACCTGAGCCGAAGGCAGAGGCTTAACCCACTGAGCCACCCAGGTGCCCCGAACTTACTCAAATTATATCTGATAGTTTGTATCCTTTAACCAACATCTCCCTATTTCTCACAAGCCCTGGTAGCCACCATTCTACTCCCTGTTACTATGAGTTTGACTTTTTTAGATTCTACACATAAACGTGATAATATAGCATTTGTCTTTCTCTGACTTATTTCATTTAGCGTAAAGTCCTCCAGGCTCATCCAGGTTTCCACATCTTTGTAAATGGCAAGATTTCCCTCTTTTTTAAGGCCGAATTTTATATGCATACATAATTAGTGTATATTGATAATGATGATTATAAACCTGATGCTAGTACATAAACATCTATCTATATGTACACCTAGACAGATAAATGATCTTCATCCTTGCATCCATCAACAGACACGGGCTGTTTTCATATCTTAACCATTGGGAATAATGATACAATGAACTTCTAGTGCAGATATCTCTTTGAGATAGTGATTTTATTTCCTTTGGATATATAACCAGTTGTAAGGTTATTGGATTCTGTGGTAGCTCTATTTTTAATTTTTCAGAAACCTCCAGAATACTTTCTATAGTGACCCTACTGATTTATATTCTCATCAACAATGGATTTAAGTTTCTCTTTTCTGTCCATTCTTGCCAATACTTGTTATTGTTTGAGTTTTTGATTCTAGCCATCCCCACAGATGTGAGGTGCTATCTCATTGTGGTTTTGATTTTCATTTCCATGTTGATTAATGATGTTGAACACATTTCCCTATACCTGTTTCGTTAGTCATTCTTATATCTTCTATGAAGAATCTGTTTAAGTCTTTTGCTTAAATTTTCTTGGGTTCCTTTTCTTCTGACTGAGTTTGAGAATGATTTTTATGTATTTCAGATAAATAGCTTCTGTCAGATTTATTTGTTGTATATATTATTTTTCTTGGGTGGTAGTTTGTCTGTCATTCTCTTAATGTGTCATTTGACAGGCAGGAAATTTTAATTATAATTATCAAAATTTTCTTTATGACTGCTCATGCTCTGTTTCAGCTGGGATATTTTAGCCTACCCCCAAGTTGCAGAGAATTTCTCCTCTGTTTCTTCTAGAATTTCTAGAGTTTTGGGTTTTGGATTGAGGTCTATGCTCATTTCAAATTAAATTTTATGTGTGATGTAATATAGAGGTCAAAGTTCATCTTTTTTCTGTAATCATATCCACCTTGGAAAACAATCTTTTACCCACTGAAGACCAACTGACTACATACATGTAGCCTCTCTCTGAACTCTGTATTGTCCCATGTATCTAGAAGTCTTTTTATATTAACTCCACACAGTCTTAATTAAGGAAGCTTTGTGATTTAAATCTTGCAATTTGGTAGTACAAATCCTCCAACATTTTTAAAAATTACTTTGACAATTCTAGATTAATTGTAATTCTCCAAAATGTTTAGAATCAGTGTAACCATTTCCAGAAAAGAAAAAACCCTGTGGAATTTTGATTGCAATTTCTTTGAATACATGGATACATTTGAAAGAGTGGGTATCTTAATAACATTGTCTTTCAACCTGAGCACATTTGTTTATCTGTGTCCCTAAGTATTATAACTGTCTGTAATATTATAAATGGTATATTTGAAGTATCATTTTACAATTATTTGACATTAGTATATAAAGACACAACTTATTTTTGTAACCCAACCTATCCTGAAACATTGCAAGATTTTAGCATTATTTCTAGTATCTTAGATGACTTGATCTTCCTTCAGAGAAGACTTATTTTGTTTTTGACAGATGGCTAGGGCATCGGTATTCCCAAATCATCTTTGTACATTAAGAATTCTTAAGATTCAAAGGTGGTCTGCAGTTTCTGAAAGGGTCATCAATTTCTGGTTTGACTTTATTCTGAGGGTATAGTGTTTTGAGGTTCCAGTCTAAAGTCTGAAGATCAAGGTTAATCAGAGAAACTTCCCTTTGGTAAGCTGAACTACAATTTTTTTTCTCAACTAATTATTTTCAGGATTTTAATTATACACCTGAAATAAGCAGATGTTGCTGGGATATAAACAATTAAAATGCCAGGCTTACTGTCCTGGGCTTCTTTTTCTTGACCCTGTAATTCTTCCCTGCATTTTTAGTTCTCCGTTTCTTCAAATAAATGTTTTTCACATTGTCCCAGTCCACCATTACCAGATACCCCCGACTTATTTTTTAAATCTCAGCCTAAGTAATTCTGCATAATTGCCATCTCCCATTCGTCTTATTTGAAGGGTCATTTGAAAACTTTGAAGCAACACTTACACTATATTCGCATTCTTAAATTCTTTAAAAAGACATCTCTAAATGTGTATCTATTCTCAGTGCTCTACTTTTTTGGTACCAAAAAAAAAAGGAAGGACGGACCTGTAGCCTGAACTGTGTCCTTTAAAATTATGTGTCTTCTCTTAGCTGCATTCCAATAATCTTATATGCATGTATTTTATTTTTTTCCTCACTATCTCTGCATATTCCATTGTTTTTGGTACAAGACTTTTTAAGGCCCATAGGCATGTGTGGAACACAGAGTTAGCAACCGCAGAGTGAACTGGACTTGGCTTGGCTTCCAACCTCCATTTTGCCTTGGGCAGGAAACTTAATTTTCCAATCCAGGAAATTATAGATTATTTTTTTTTCAGTCTTTATGGGATAAATTTACACTCAATTCTAGAACTCTCCCTTTTCATCTTGCTGTCCCCAGGGACTAAGAAAAGGCTGTGAAATTATGCATTATAGAGGAGTTGGAAGGACTGGGGTCTAAGTCCTTGTATGTGATGTCCCCTGTACTGTCCTCTGATGCCCACTGATCCCAGGGCTCCAGGATCATGACCTGAGCCGAAGGCAGATGCTTAGCTGACTGAGCCACCCAGGCACCCCAACAACCGTTGCGACTCTTTGCACACACTTTCTGGAAAGGCCGGCTATACACCCGGGAAGTGAGGCGCAAACCCTCTAAGGCTTTTATGATCTCCCTACTTCAGAAGCTTGGCCAGAAGTGGGGCAGACGCAGCCCTATCACACTGGTATCTAGGCTCTTTCTTCCCTTTCTTTCTCCCCCGAACTCCTTTACATAGCTCAAAAGTGTTTCTACTCTTCATTCAGCATAGAGAAAAATTAGCTTTCATATCCGCAAGCATTCTCCCAAACTCTTTTTATATCAGATATGCTCATCTTTGAAGAAAAGAAAGCACCTTTCTCAAAAAAATCATCCCTTTAAAATTATGCTTTTAGTTACTTAAAACACAACAGACTTCTTCGGGCCGTGTTGGAATCTGCCATTTCCCCTCATATGACAAATGTCACTGATTTAATGAATGGAAGGCCTGGGGCAGTGAAGAAAAACAGGGGAAAATTCCAGATTTTATTTAAATAACAGGAAAAACATACATAGCAAGAAAATAATGATTGGCTTTTAAGAGAAATGAAATGGATCCTTCAACACAGGCTACTGTAGTTCTTTATAGACTGCCTTGGATAATGTCAATGATTTCACGGTAAACTTGCTGATATGCATCTAAACCGAACAAAAAGTCTATATGATTGTAGAAAGAAATAGTTTTATGGTAAATAGGGTTTGTAATTTCAGAAAGTAGATTTTTCACATCTTGAGGATCGGCCAACAAGTCATTGCCCCCGTTCCAAGTCGCTGTCAATACGTTCATGTTCCTCACGTCGTAAAATGGAGAAGTGGACTAAATGTAGAGGGTGTTCGCAGAAAATGATACATAGAAGGTGTTCTTTACTATTCTTTAAATGATTAATTAATACAATTTTAAAGTAAGTTGAATCTAAAATAATTACTATGATGGAAGCAAGGAATATTGAAAGAATCCTTATTATGGTTTTTACTTAGAAATAGATCAGATACAAATCAAAACTAGAGCATTTGCTCTAATTCAGGGTGTTCAAACATGCCACAGAAGGAATTTCAGTTTTATTTATAAGGCACGAAAGTATTTTAATCAAAATTTTCTGCAGCTGGGTCGTCTGGGTGGCTTAGTTGCTGGGCGTCTGCCTTCGGCTCAGGTCATGATCCCGGGGTCCTGGGATGGAGCCCGGCATCGGGCTCCCAGCTCAGCGGGAAGCCTGCTTCTCTCTCTCCCACTCCCCCTGCTTATGTTCCCTCTCTCACTGTGTCTCTCTCTAATAAATAAATAAAATCTTGAAAAATAATTTCTGTAGCTGTATAGCTGCCAATGTATTTATCAATAACTGGTAAATATTGAAGGGGGGAGCAAGTCTGATTTTATTGATTTTAATCTTTCCATTTTACTTCGGAGTTTTACACAAGCAAACCACACCAGGCATGAAGTTTAGCTAAGGCAGAAGAGGATAATGGGAAAGAATAATTTTGAAGATGGCAGACTTGGGTTCTAATACCTCAAGATTTCTGTCATCTTCTTCATACAATATTACCATCTTCTCATTAACTTTTGTCTTTTCCTCATAATTATGGGTTTGTCTTATCTTCCCAAGTACAATCAAGAGCTTTTAGGGTCAAGAACCATATCATGCCTTTTATTTCTTATTTAACCAACCACGGAGCTATGCATATTATACACACAATATTTTTTCTCCTGAGGGAGGATGAATTACTCTACAGCCTGTCAAACTTCTCCAGGCTTAACTGAGGTATTTGTTGTTAAAATACATAGAAAATCTGGAAAAGCCCCTGTTGGATGTGAGACTATGGACCCAAATCATGGCAGCCTTTGCCTGCTGGTCCTTCTCACTGTTATTATCCTCTCAGGCTTTACATGAGCCCTTCTCTGTAGCCACCTCCTCTGAACTGACCCAGGAGATAGTTTTTAGCTTATGCATAATTATGTACCTGATTAAAATGAACCAAGTTCAGAACAGGACTGCCCCAATCAAAAGCTCTCAAGTGACTAGAATGAAAAACCTGAAAGAAAAAAAAAATTTTAAAGCAAGATTATACTCATCTGTTTCCTACAGTGCAGCTGGTAAAGTGAGGTGTGCATTGCATATACTGTCCCTCCGTATGGGGCCTGTTGGAATATATATGCGCAGGGACACATCTTCTCTTCTCTCTTCCTTTGAAAAGGGCAGAAATGGAAGGGGGAAGGTGGTGAGGGGCAGGGGCATCTAAGGAACGTGATTCTATCAGTTACATATAAATGCATGTTCCCCCAAGGCCTTTCACTTTGTTAACGGGAGCCTGTGTGCTCATCAGCCCTCCCCGGAAAGCCTCAGCTCCATCCGCAGAGGACAAAAGTGAATGTCTACGGGCACCTACGTGGCTCAGTCTGTTGAGCGTCCAACTCTTGGCTTCAGCTCAGGTCATGATCTCAGGGTTGTGGGATTGAGCCCCGCGTTGGGCTCCACACTCAGTAGAAAGTCTGCTTGAAGATTCTCCCTCTCCCTCTTCCTCTGCCCCTCCCTGTGATCACACTCTCTCTCTAAAATAAATAAATATCTCTTTAAAATATATATAAATATAAATACATCTTAAAATATATATCTTTAAAAAAAAGTGTCTAGGACTAGGTGCACTAGAACTGAAATGGCACATCCCTAAACATCCTTGCTTCAAACAACAGGTCTCAAGAGCATGTTCCAGAAGCCACCCCTTGCTTCACCTTTCATAACTGTAGCCTCACCACCACCGCCTGCTGTGAGCCTCTTAGGTCTAATCTGATCATATCCTTTTCTCCCCCTGATAATGTTTTCATTGCAGGAAGTTTCAGACTCTCAGCTTACAGATCTCTCGGACTCTAACCCTGACAGGTCTCCATGCACCCACCATTTTATCTTCTCCTAACTCCCCCCAACTTCAAAAACTCTCTCTACCATCTGGAATTCCACCATTAGTGTATATCTTAAAACCCATCTCTGATGGGTTCCTTTACCTTCCTTCTCTCTGGACAACCTGATTTTCCCCCAACAACACTTCTTACCCTGCAGTTCTTTCCTTCCACAAAACTGGCTGAGGTTATTCATGATCTTAGCATTTGTAAAACTTGTCGATTCTGAGGAATTTCCTCACATTACCCATGATGCCATTGGACCCAGCTGTTCATTTCTATCCTAGAGCTTTTCTCCACTTGGCTTCTGGAATACCGTCATTTCTTTTTTTTTTTTTTTAATAATTTTTAAAAATTTTTTATAAACATATAACGTATTATTAGCCCCAGGGGTACAGTCTGTGAATCGCTAGATTTACACACTTCACAGCACTCATCATATCACATACCCCCCCCAATGTCTGTAACCCCACCACCCTCTCCCTACCACCTCCCCCAGCCACGCTCAGTTTGTTTTGTGACATTAAGAGTCTCTTACGGTTTGTCTAATACCGTCATTTCTTGATCTTCATTTTTCACTCCCAGCTCCTTTTTGGTTTCTTTGCTGTATCCATCCAGCCGCCGCTGCCTGACCTTTGAATCCTTCCATGGCTCAGCCTTCTACCCGTGCTCCTCTTCTCCCCATCTGTATTTGCTCTGTGTGTGTTCTCATCCAGTTTCTTGGTTCTAAGTGGTGTCCATACTTAAAATGTTTATCCTCTTCTGTAAGTCTCTTCTAAATACTAGACTCCTATACACAACTGCTTTTTCAAGTTACACACTGGGATGCCTCGCACTTAACATCTCCAAATGTGAACATTTTCTCTGTCCCTCATACCTGCACTGCCACCAAATGTCCCTATCTCCTTTAATGGCAATTGCATATTTTCCTTGCTTAGGCCAGAAAGTCTGGAATCATCCAAGACACTTCCCTCTCTCCTTTCACAGAATCCATATTAAATGTCTTTGGCTGCATGTTTACAATACACATGTACACTCAGAACCCTACCCTCTTCGGCACCCTTCCTGGAAACACATCTGTGCAGGCCATCATCAATCTGGATTATGGTGGTCTCCAAAATTTCTCATTGTTTCCTCTTCGATCTACCCAACATGGCACCCGAAGCATTCTTTTTTTTTCCCCCAAGTAAACTCTACCCCTAACGTGGTGCTTGAACTCACAACCCCGAGATCAAGAATCACATGCTCTGTTGACTGAGCCAGTGAGGCGTCCCCTAAGCATTCCTTTAAAAATGTAAGTCATATCATGTCCGCTCCCTGCTCAAAAACCTGCAGTGGCTGCTCACTTAGCCAGAAAGCCAAAGTCCTCCCAATGGAGTACTTGTTCCTTTCTGGCTCTAGTACATTTCTGCCCCCTTTCCCTTACTTCTTTCTCCGTTAATTGCTGACATCAGCCATACTGACCTTTTAGCCATGCCTCTCAGAAATGCTCCTAACTAAAGGGCTTTGTGTTGGTTATTCTGTCTGGAATGTTCTTCCTCCAGGTTGTTCACACCGCTAACTTTCTCGGCTTCTCTAAATCTCTTCTCGAATGTCACCATCTCATTGAGGCTGGCCTAACCTCTCTGTTCAAAAACACAACCCACTACCCACTGTGTCTAATCTCTTTATCTTGCTTTTTCCCCTTTGTTTTTCCATAGTTTCTATTCCCTTCTAAAGTTTTAATAATCTACTTATTTGCTATGCTTAATGTTTACTGTCTGTATATCTAACTGCTAGAATGTCAGCTTAAGGAGGACAGGAATATTTACTTCGTTCACTGATGTGTACCCTGAGCATAGAACATACAGGGCACATAGTAGGTACTCAATAAATATTGTTTCAATAGAGGAATAGATGCAAAGGTTGCTTAAACTTTCCTGGACTAGTTATCACCAGGAATGAACTAAATCTAAATATAAGTTAAAGATTTTTAATAATTTACCTCAAAACAATCACTTAGTAGATTTAAACATGTTAAATGAGAAAGTCCTTCCCAATATCTCAATGATACTTGAGTTCATTAGTGTTCATTAAATTTAAACAACACTCTTGATCATCACCCTGTTGAACTCTCATAATATTTTTGTTAGTTAAGTCAGAGCATTATTATTAACTCCATTTTTAAAATTAAGGAAACTGACTTCATAAGGAGTAAGTGAGCTTGCTGAGTGTCTCACTACCAGTTAAGTTTCAGAGAAAAGATTCAGTGCCTGATATTTTGATCTCAAGTATACTGTTCTTTCTAAGATTTTATCCTGGCTCTCAACCTTAAGATGATATTCACACTGGATTTTTTTCTTCATTAATATTCACGCAACATATATTCTTGAGTATCTGTTGTTTGCCCAGAACTCTTGGCCTTGCAAATATAGAAGTGAATAAAACTTGCTCATGGGCTTTATGGAGTTCACAAGTGAATGGAGGAGAGAATGAAGTCTAGTGAGAGACTAGGCATTGGGATACCTGTGTTTTAGTCTTAGGTTTTTAAAATTTTATTATTATTGTTATTATTATTATTAGTCTTGGGTGTTTTTAAAGGAATAGCTCTGAATCTTTGGGCAAGTCAAATGATAAACATGGCCCAATGATTCCTAGTCTACTATTCCAAATTAACATTTTCTCATTTGTAAAACAGAAAATAGGTATATTGCTCTGATTATTGCTTAGGGTTAGAAGACCTAATAGATTATGATTTTAACATATTAGAAACCATGAAGAATTACATAAATATGTAATAGTTACATTTTATCCTTCTAAATTTATCATCCTATGACAATGGCATGATTCTCAGAATGATGGGGTAAACCACGAGTAGTATAAATAAAATTGTACTAAAAAGCACTTGAAAAGTTATACCTGACTCCAGTGTAGCATATTTTGAACAGATGTCCCTGCTGGGTTATGTGACAAATACACATCCACACGACTCTGAGGGGTTAAAAAATTATTTTTATACTTAGTCCATCCAGAGATAGCGTAACTTTTGATATTTACTACACTAAATAACTTCAATAAAATTTAAAGTAATTTTTAAGCAAATAATATAAATAAAATATAAAATTATATTTTAATTAAGTACATAAATGTACTTACTAAATGTGTAATTTTACATTAACATAGAAGCTATTATTGGATTTCCGAGTTATGTAGTCTGTCATCCTGTACTGATAACAATTTAAACTCTTAGGACTCACATACAGACCCCTTTTGAGAGCACAAAGGACTGAAAAGATAGAAATTACCAGGAGAAATGGAAAAGGAAAACAAAAACTCTCAAAAAAGCAAAGTACTAAAGCCAGTTTTTCCTTCAAGTTATTTGCCAATCCCAGGGAATCTGAAGTTTTATTGTGAGAATTAAGCTAGTTGAGGAAAACAAACAAACAAACAAACAAAAAAATTAGCCCAGGGCCTGCCAAGGGTGATTAGGAGATTTAAAAAGAAACCCTTTCCATGATGAACTGGGCTCCTGAAATGCTACACAACTTCCAGTGAAACAATCAGAAATGCAGCAGCTTTCATGTCAACCTATCATCAAGGTTTGAATTAACTACAATGTCCCTGGAAACCTTAGTCAGTGAGCAAGACTTACAATGTCAATGTTGTCCTATCAAAATCTCAGCAAGTTCTCATAAGGATATCAACAAATTGCTTCTCAGATGGAGAAGCGGAAGACCCAGGACAGCCAATACAGTATTGTAAGGGAGGAACAAAGTTGGAGGACAGACATACACAACTTCAAGATGTACTATCAACCTACAGTAATCAAGAAGTGGGGTACTGGTGGAAGAATAGACAAACAGATCCATAGAATGGAAAGAGGGCCCCAACATAGACCCCTATATAGTCAACAGATCTTTGAAAAAGAGAAAAGGCAATCCAATTGAGAAACAATGGTGTCTTCAAAAAATAGTCCTGGAACAACTAGACAACGACATGGAAAAGAAAAAGAAAAAAAAAGAATTGAGGCACAGACCTCACACCCTTCGCAAGAGTTAACTCAAAATAGAACACAGATCTAAATCTAAATCTAAATCAAACTCAAAACTATGAAAGTCCTAGAAGATGACCTAGTAGAGAAAATCTAGTTGACTTTGTGTCTAGTGATGGCTTTGTAGATAAAACACCAAAGGCACAACCTATGAAAGAAATAAATGACAAGCTGAGCTTCTTCCAAGTCAGAAACAGCCACTTTGCAAAAGACAAAGAGAATTAGAAGACAGGCCATGGGCTGGAAGAAAATATTTGCAAAAGACATATCTATGAAAGACTGTTACCCAAAATGTACAAAGGACTCTTCAAACTCAACAATGAGAAAATAACCTGATTTAAAAATGGGCCAAAGACCTTAACAGACAGCTCACTGAATAGATAAACAGATAGCAAATGACCATGAAAAGATGCTCTGCATCATACACCATCAGGGAAATGCAATTTAAAAAAACAATGAGATACCACTACACACTTATGAAAATGACAAAGGTCTGAAACGTTGACAGCACCAAGTGCTGGTGAGGAAAAAGTCACAGGAACTCTCATTCACTGCTGGTGGGAATGCACAATAGTACAACCCCTTTGGAAAAACAGTTTAGTGGTCTCTTATAAAACAAAAGATATCTTCGTCACACGATCCAGCAATTGCACTCCTTGGTATTTATCCAAAGGGGGTAAAGACTCGTGTTCACGCAAAATCTGCACATTGATCTTGATAGCATCTTTACTCATAATTGTCAAAACTTGAACCATAATGTCCTTTAGTAGGTGGATAGATACACAGTGATACATCCAGACAATAAAATATTTTTTCAGCACTAAAAATAAATGAGATACCAAGCCAGGAAAAGACATGGAGGAACCTTGAATGTATGCTACTAAATGGACGAAGGCAATCTGAGAGGGCTACAAACTATGATTCCAACTACATGACATTCTGGAAAAGGCAAAACTGTGGCAGGCAGTGAAAAAATCAGTGGTATCAGTGGTTGCCAGGATTTAAGAGGGGAGGGATGAGTAGACAAAGCACAGAGGATTTATAGGGCAGTGAAAATATCCTACATGATACTGTAATGGTAGGTCTATGTCATTATACATTTGTTAGAACTCACAAAATGTAGAACACCAGAGTGAACCATGCTGTAAACTATGGATTTGGGGTACTTATGATGTGTCCATGTAGGTTCATTAATTATAACAAACAAAAAGTACAACCTGGTGGTCCTTGCCACATCCAAGATCATCTAGGTTTTTCCCTATGTGATCTTCTAGGAGTTTGAGAGTCTTACATTTCACATTTAGGTCTATGATCCAAATCTGAGTTAACTCTGTGAAGGGTATTTCATTTTTTTGTATGTAGACATCCAGTTGTTCCAACACCATTTGTTGAAGAGACTGTGGTTTTTCTAGTGCACTGCCTTTCTCCTTTGTCAAAGATCTGTTGATGGTATTCATGATACTCTGTGTCTGCACTCTCTATTCTGCTGCACTGATCTTCTTGTTTCTTTCATTAATCCCACACTGTCTAGATTACTGTAGTTGAAGACTAAGTCTTAACATTCAACAGTACCAGTCCTCCAACTTTGCTCTTTCCCTTCAATTCTGTGTTGGTTACTCCAGGTTTTGCTTTCCTCCATAAACGTTAGAAGTCATTTGTCAATATCGTTAAATTAGCTTGCAGGGATTTTGGTTGGGATTGCCTTGAATCCACGGACTAAGTTGGTAAGAATGGACATCTTGACAACTTCTCTTTCTTTGAATGAATAAATTGATTCTTGCTGGGAAATTATTAAATGGTACAGGTGCAGGAACCAACCAGTAGTCTGAATGCCACAGCTGCTTCTGCTAAATCCGGTTTTTTAATTTAATGTGCTTAAAAAGTCTTAGAATGAATGCGTACATCTGCAATAGCATCTATACACAATCAAACTGTACGGCTTTGGGAATAGTAGCTTGAGCCCCTAAACAGTGTCCCACTCCAGGAATTTTGATGAATGCCCAAAGCCGGTAAGGTAATTAGCAGGCACAATTGCCAATTACAAAAGGGTCAATAAGAAAGGGAAGGAGTGTTAGGAACCAAGATGTAAGAGCAGGAGTTGTTAAAAAAAAAATAACAGATAGAAGATGGGGTGCCTGGGTGGTTCAGTGGGTTAAGCCTCTGTCTTCCGCTCAGGTCATGATCTCAGGGTCCTGGGATTGAGTCCCGCATCAGGCTCACTGCTGGGCAGGGAGCCTGCTTCCTCCTCTCTCTCTCTCTGCTTGCCTCTCTGCCTACTTGTGATCTCTCTCTGTCAAATAAATAAATAAAATCTTTTTAAAAAATAAGTGATAGGAGAGAACTCAAAGACAAGAAACTTCAGGAAACTAACTCCCAATAGTAAAGGCCAATAAAAAGACCCAGCACAGCACCTGCTCTCTGTTCTCTACAGCAAGACAAATCAGAATGCAAAATAATCCCAGCATGCTCATGCTGATTAGTTTCAGAATGTTGGTGTAGTCCCCAAACCAGGAAGGCTAAGAATCTATCAGTACATGTGGATAAATCATACAATGACATGCAAGGCATAAAGTAAGTACTATTAAGAGCTGCTTTCTAAAAATGGACAAAGTACATTTCAAATTCAATTTGTTCTCACCATATTTAAGTTCTCCTGGTCATATCCATATATCATAAACAAGATTTCACGGCAAATCTTACCAATAATCTTCAGTGGACACAGCTTTGAGCCAACAAATCTTTTGAATGAGGTATTAGGTAGGAAGTCTTTGTTGCCAAGAAAAGCCTGTAAAACAAGATTACTTTATTCATATTTGGAAAACCAAAATAATTAATCAAAGAATGGTGCAATGAGCTCATTATATTTATAATGAAATGCACTGTCTCACATTAGTTCAAAATATTTAAATGAGAGAGGTGCCTGAGTGGCTCAGTCGGTTAAGTGGGTGACTCTTGATTTTGGCTCAGGGTCATGAGATGGAGTCCCATGTTGGGTCCATGCTCAGAACAGTCTGCTTGTCCCTCTCTCTGCCCTCCCCTGTCTCCCTTGCCCTTGTGTTCTCTCTCTCTCTTTCAAATAAATAATTAAATAAAACCTTTAAAAGAAATACATTTATTTATTTTTTTAAAGATTTTATTTATTCATTTGACAGACAGAGATCACAAGTAGGCAGAGAGAGGAGGAAGCAGACTCCCCACTGAGCAGAGCGCCCAATGGGAGGCTCGATCCCAGGACCCTGGGATCATGACCTGAGCCGAAGGCAGAGGCTTTAACCCACTGAGCCACCCAGGCGCCCTAAAAGAAATACATTCAAATTAAGGGCAAAACTTGGAAGCAGGAGATAGAGATAAGCTGACTACTGGATTTTCCTTCAAAATGAGATGTCCAAAGCTATTATAAATAAAATCTTATTCCTTTGTAAAAACAAAAGAAAGAATCCAGTGTCGCTGAAACCAAAAAATTAAATTCATGCAAACATAGTCAAGACCTTTTATTTTGAAAGGACAGAATCATTGTCATTTTGTATTATCAGCTATGTAAAGGAAAGGAATAACATACCTTTAACACTGACCTCCATTTGTATGCCAATTTAATTAAAGGGCTCTTTGAGTATTTGATAGAAAAAACTGGAGCTAAGGCAAAAAATATTTTGATTCTTTCAGCTATCTGTGGTATTGTGGAAAATGTTATGAAAGCTGAAAGAAAATAAGACAGAAATTAACTATTCTTACACCATTACTAGCATGTAAGAAACGATACCATGGAAAGTGAGAGTAAATTCAATATGTTACAACCACTTAATTGACTCATTCATTTCTCAATTCCCTTATCAAACATTTCTCGATCACCCAGTATGAGACATACATATCGATCAAGCATCTACTGATGATTAATATTAAAAACAATGTCTAGACCATAAACAATGATAAATCAATGATAAAAGAGTCTCGTAATACCATAGTTGAGAAATCAGAAACAATATTGAACATTTCTATAACTGGCAATGCTGAAAATAGGTTAGTGAGCTTTTTGGATATTTGAATCTTACACTTTAGGTGACAGATCCAATCGATACATGTCAAATTGTTTTTATATTTACTTTTAATATATTTTAAAACATCCTTGCCTTATTGTGCGGAGGATACTAGTTTATATTTTATTGTTAGTTTAGAGTCATTAATAAGACAAATAGTTTTCCCTTTTATGACATCTTATCAAGCTACATTCTTGCACATCTTTTTTATTTTTATAGCTTTTCTGTTTTCTGAGTTCTAAGAAGGCACACAACCAGAGAATCATATAACATATTAGAAGTCAGTAAATTCTAGCACATAGCCACTTCTTTCTTATTTAATAATTTTCCAAGATTCCTGGTTCCAGAGAACTATAACAGCTGGAAAAGCCAGACTGCAAGTCACACACATGATTAATAAATGTCAGAGAAAAGATCTGTGGAAAATCGGATTAGACTGTCCTTCAACACACTCTTTTAAAGCAGGATGTGGCTTATTCCTATAAGAAAATGATCATTTTTCAGCCTAGAAAAGACTCCGTGAATACTGGTTGCTATTATCAAGTGGGCTTTGTAACTTCCCCAGTAGAAAGAGTGGGAGTAAGAAGGTTTACCACATCATGTAAGAGAATTATGTTGGGTTTTAGAGAATTCTTTTATTTTCTGAAAGTGAAACTATTACACATTAGATGGAAGCATTGTTGCTGTGAGTTGAAAGAAGTTCTTTTTTAGTCTCTTTAAACATATGAAGACTTAGGTCCATCTTCGTGCATGTCTAAAGTTTAATCTGTCCTAAATGCGTAAGCATTAATAGCCTTCTCACGTCTCTCCCTCATAAGGTCCTTTGCCACACTTAAATGACAATTATAAGTATGAAATTTCTATTTGTGGATCAAGGGGTAGTTATGATCTCACTTTGATCCCAAGATGGATATCCAACTTCTGAACACTTGGGAACAAAGACAACCTGTTATTACAATGGATTCTTTGTGACTGGAGAAGACAAGGTAGAAGAAGGAAGGGGGTTAGTGTCCAGGGCCAGGCTGTGGGTCCTCTTCCCGGAGCTCTGTTTTGTGTCACTTGTAGCTCTGGGAGCTTGCCCGCATCTGTAGGAGGTATGTCTGCAAACCCTACAAAAGATATTGCATACTCCTTCTGGCCATACCAATAGTGGTGCCCTGGGAATGGCCTATATAAAATATCTCCTCTTGTCCCGTGTGCTTCACGATGAAGTCGATGGAGGCTGGGAGGTCATATTTTGCCATCTCATCAAAACTACAAAAGAAAAAGGGAAGTTGAAATCCCCTTGCTTCTAGAATGTGATGCTAACCCTTGAAGATAATGAACAGGTAAGTGAAGGCAAACAATTTTCAACTCTCTTTAGGTATTATCAAGAAGTTATGGGGCAGGGCGCCTGGGTGGCACAGTGGGTTAAAGCCTCTGCCTTCAGCTCAGGTCATGGTCCTAGAGTCCTGGGATCAAGTCCCGCATCCGGCTCTCTGCTCAGCAGGGAGCCTGCTTCCACCACTCTCTCTCTGCCTGCCTCTCTACCTACTTGTGATCTTTGTCTGTCAAATAAATAAATGAAATCTTAAAAAAAAAGATGTTTAAAAAAAAAAAGAATTTATGGGGCCCTTGAGTGGCTCAATTGGTTGAGCATCTGACTCTTGATTTCAGCTCAGGTCGTGGTCTCAGGGTAGTGAGGTCGAGCCCTGTGTCCGGCTCTGCACTCAGTGTGGAGTCTGTTTGAGCTTCTCTCTCCTTCTCCTCTGCTCCTCCCCCGACTCGTGCATGCGCATGCACTTTCTCTCCAGCTCTCTCTCAAATAAATAAATCTTTTTTAAAAAAGAGGTTATATGGTGTAATATATCTACTTAATAATGACTTCCGTGAGAACACAAAGCCAGGGAATAAAGTAGCCCCAAGACAGTCTTATAAAGAGGCTGTTTATTTTACATACAGGGAGATAAAGTAAATATATAGGTCAAGGAGCAAAACAATAGGAAGGGCGGGGTTAGCCAATAAAGGTTACTGCTGACAAATGAGAAACACACTTAAGGTCAAGCAAGCATTCTTTCATTTTCAAGCAAAAATTGACATAAATTGTGATGGCCTGTTACAAGACCTGATTGAGAAAAGACACTTCTGTTCTACTTTATTTCATTAAAACACAAGACAAAATATTTGACACACTTATAAAATAAAATGAAACATTACTTGATGTTATTTGTACCTGAAGGCCCAGAATTCTTTGGAATTTGTCTTCAGGTACTTGTGTTTCCTGGACCAGGTGGTCCCCCTGCTGTTCCCCATCCACACGTCGTAACCAGCATCTGCCAGAATGAAGCCCAGGCTGTTGTTGGGCAGATTGGAGATCCAGCTGCTGGCAGATGTAAACAAACCATGTTGCAAGTAGACAACAAGCCTCTGAGCTAGAAAAAAAATGCAGAGAATTTCTTCTTAAATGTTGTAGTATCTGTATAAATATCTCATCTGAAATTCAATCTTTTAACACATGACAGTTTGAAGTTTTAAAAATATATTTTTAAATTTTATATTGTATAAATACGGTAAATTTTTCATGTTTAATCCCGTTGTATGTCAGAGTTGTTTAGCAAAGTTTACAAAGTTGCAAACTTAGCAAAGTTTACAAAGAAATTTTTTTCAAATGACCAAGTATACCATTAGGTCATGTCTCACTTAAATATATAAACTTTTAAGATTAGAACATTCACATAGCTAATAGTCATGTGAGCACTCATATACATTTTATTTTGTTTTATTTTTATTTTAGAGAGAGAGAGAGAGAGCGAGCAGGGGGAGGGGCAGGGGGGAGAGAGAAAGAGAATCTCAAGTAGACTCCACATTGAGCACGGAGCCCAACGCAGACCTTGAGCTCACCACCCTGAGATCATGACCTGAGCCAAAAACAAGAGTCGGACATTTAACTGAGCCACTCATGCTTCCATCATATACATTTTAAATAACATATTATAGTAGATGTCAGCCAGACACTGGTCTTAGCCACCCCAGTGCTGTGCAGTGGGCTCATGAAAGAAGTAGCCATGATGAGAGAGATGTAGGTTAACTTGGGCCCCCCAGCATGGGTGCCTCACCAAGACTACTGCTAGGAAAGTATGTCTGACCTGCCTGCAACAGAGATCTCACAAGGTACCATCCCCTCAAGGAAACCAAACCAGCCACTTGGAGACTAGTTGGGGGCATCAGACCTTTTCTCTTCTGGAAAGGTCAACAACCCACTATGACTGGCATTGATATATATTTTGGCTATGATTAGCCTTTCTTTCCACATAGGACCACAGCAGCCAGCACTATTATTCAAGAGTTCATGGAGTGTCTGATCTACAAATATGGAACCTCTCTTGAAATACCTCAAATAAAGGGAATCACTGCAGGTCAAAGAAGGTACATTCCTCAGTATTATGGCTTTGGAAGGCCACTGGTCTGAGGGCGTAACCACCATCAAGAGGCTGCCAGCCCAACCAAGCAAGGAAATCACCACCCAGTAGAGATGCCAGCTGGGAGATGACATCCTGTAACTGTGGGTCCTGTCCTTAAGGACTCATTCGATACCTTAAACAAATGACTGAATATATTGCTGCTTCCTCTAATCAGGAGAACACAGAGTCTGAGAAAAAAGGGGTAGGATTAAGAATGGTCTTACTCACTATCATCCAGTAACTCACTTGGGGGTTTGTACTTTCTGTTCTCACAGTTTAAGGCTCTTATAGATCCAGAGGCCCTGGTCCCCAGACAGAAGACATGTCCACTAGTTCACATAGTAAACATCCTAATAATAAAGCCATGACTGCTGGAAGGCTATGACTTTGGGTTCCTCATGACAGAAGACTAGAGGGCAGGAGTGGCAAAGAAAGGAATTACTATATTGGCAGGAGTCATTGGCCTTGATCATCATGACGAGGTAGGGCTTCTGATACAGAATGAGGATGGAAAAACATACTTGGTGTTCACGAGATTCAGTGGGACATCTTTTGTTACTCCATTGCCTTGCTTTCCCTATAAAATGTACAAGTACTGCAACTGTGACCTGTTACAGGCACAGTAACCCTTCAGGATAAGGGCCTGTCTTGCCACATCAGGGTACACAGCTGAGAGGGAGGGGAATCTATAGTGGGTAGTACAGGTGAAAATTCACAAGTGACAGCCATGGCGTTAGGATCAGTGGCACTGGCAGACGTCATACTTTGTTCCACTCACCTTCCTCTTATAAGTTTCCCCAGAAATTCTGACCTACCCATACCCTGGAAAACCTGTACCTGGATGAAATAAGCTTACTGTGAAAAACAAAATGATCTGTGTAATGTAAGAGGTGCACTCTCTGTTATTTTGGTGCTCACCTAGACTTCCTTTCCAAAGTAGGTGGAGCTCCCAGATGTTGTGGGTGTTGCTTTCTAAGTGCTCATTATTGCCCCTCTATCCCCCAGGGCAAATGGCAGTTGCCTTACCTAGGAGATTACACCACTAAAAGTAGCCTTAAGCAATAACTAACTGCTGTGGCAATGCAAAAGGCTAACTCCTTAACTTCAAGGCAGGACAGCTTCCATGATGCAGTTCCTGGATCCATAAGCTCCCCTGAGATCAGACTCCAGCTGGACTTAGCTGAGCCACACCCTTCCCTAGCTCCTTTCCTTGCCCTCCCTGTTTCCACATGACCTTCTGATGGTAGACCAGCAATAAATCACATGCTCCTGACTCCCTGTCTCTGGCACTGCTTCTAGACAACTCAAAAGCACTTACTGTATTTTTAAATTACCTTTTAATATTTTATTACAGTATTCACAAAATTAGGTCAGACCCTGAAAAATGATTGCTATAATTATGTTAAATCTATGTTAACATTTTCTGTCTGGTAGTTCTGACCTTTATAAGGATCCAAAATTACATTGATTGAGGTTGTTTCAGATTAGTATCTTTCCTGAAATACACTTTAATGCTTAAAACTTGGGAGGGTATTTTATAATATGAAAAACATCCTTTTCAAGGAGAAATATCTAAAGGGAAAACTAAAAAAAAAGTTGGCTTTTGTTTGAGCAATTAGATGAATAAGCAAAAGTAATCTATTGCATATTCTTCTAGTAAGTGACAGATATAGGATTCTAATCCTAGCGACAAATTCGAGTGCTTTATCTTTTTCACCGCACTTGTGGATAATGATGTACCTATTGTTGGGATAAAGAACCAGGACCAAACTCACCTCTTTGCTATTACTAGAGGAGACAGGAAGGAGGACATTTTTACCAGCCATTTTCCAAACCTATGTTACCATGTTACCATTTCTAACCCTTCATGAAACAAAGAGATTGGAAAGAATCAACAGAAATGAGTAAAGGGACCCACAAAGAACATTTGGAACAGCTTAGTTTCCATCACGCTCTAAAACCATCCTGTGAACAAGAAGCCAGGGGAGAATCGGGCTTTCTTCTGGGGGCATGTAGAGACACGGGTGAGAAGTTAACTGTGGGCTTCATCTTTAAGTCCTTTCCTTGTCTGACACTCACTGAGGGCCCAGACAGTCACCAAGTTGTTCTGAATTGAATATTACCTGAACTGTCACTGTTTGTCTTCCCATAAGGAATTCTATAAAGGCCAAGGATGTAACCATCTTCAGTTACAATATCATACACTTCATCTGGATAGCCCCAATAAGAAATAATTTGGCTCTAGATAAAGAAAAAGGAAGGCTTTTAGGATACAATTTCTGGTCAGTTAATGGAACCTGATAATAACCTAAGTTGTTAATGTAATAATGGACCTTGTATAGTCAGTCTCTCAACCTCAGGACTATTTTTTTTTCACTAGTTCACTGATTCATTCAGTAATAGATATTTTAGAACATCTATAAACATCAATCTTATACATTACTTTTTGCCTAACTACTAATCACTCAAACTTTTACCTGCTCAGCCAATATACAATTTTAAAATATATGTTTATCCACAAATGTTTGCATGTCTATGATTATAGCTAAGCTTATATCTGGAATTTGCATGTATGTGCATGTATACAAAAAAGAATTTATAAGTCTTCCATAAAGGTATTTAAATGCCGGTATATATATTTTCACCCAGGGACAAAATAAGGGTGAAGGGGAAACTGTGAGCTATGGAACGGTAAGTGGGGACTATTCATTGACCCATATCAAAATATATGAATACAAGGATATTTATTTGACTGCAGCTCTATTAAAATAAAAGCCCGCCCTCCCCAATTAAAGAGTAGCATCCCCTGTGTTATTTCAGCAGCTTAGCATTCATTTCCTAGCAACTTACAATGTTCATGTTCACTTCAGGGTTCTGAGCTCTTCGATATAGAAAGGCACCTTGCATAGTCCCAAGAATTAAAACGAGAGACATCACTCTGAAAAGGTAGGACATTTGGGATCTGCATATAAAAGGAGATGTTAATACTACTAAAACTGCAGCAAGTGATACCATTTGACCTTTTAAATAATTCTGTAAGTTGGGGAATATTACTGTTTTCAGGTCAGAAAACCAAAGCCCGGAAAAATTAACTTGTCTAAGGACACACAATGTATAGTTGGCAGTCAAGAATTCGATTCATTCTGGCTTCATTCCCACATCAGTGCTTTTCCAGCTGTCCTCTTTTGCAGCACAAAACCCTCTTTGAGGTCTCCATTATAGGATTGTTTAGCCCAATTCCAAAAACTTTATCATATACTGCAAGTTAATTGATACCTGAATTAATGATGTAATGATATTCTTACCAGACTAACAACTGTTTATTTCCTTTAAAGATTTTATTGATTTATTTGAGAGAGAGAGAGAGAGAGAGAGAGAGTGTGTGTGTGTGTGTGTGTGTGTGTGTGAAACAGAGTGAGAGAGAGAGCACAAGAAGGGGGAGGCTCAGAGGGAGAGGCAGACGCCCCACTGAGCGGGGAGCCAGATGCAGGACTCTGGGATCATGACCAGAACCAAAGGCAAACACTTAACCCATGGAGCCACCTAGGCTTCCCTGGACTAACATTCGTTTAAAGTATGTTTTAACAGCTGTTGAGTTTGGTGGAGGGAAGGGGGATGGAGAGAATCTTAAAATAGTAAGAAGAAGAACTTGTTATCTATAATGGAACCCCCATAATACTATCAGCAAATTTTTTTAGCAGAGACTTTGCAAAATATATATTGCAAAATATATATATATGCAAAAATATATATTCTATGTATATATATATATATATGATTTTATTTTATTTATTTGACAGACAGAGATCAGAAGTAGGCAGAGAGGCAGGCAGAGAGAGAGAGGGGGAAGAATGCTCCCCACTGAGCAGAGAGCATGATGTGGGGCTCGATCCCAGGACCCTGGGATCATGACCTGAGCCGAAGGCAGAGGCTTTAACCCACTGAGCCACCCAGGCCCCCCTATTCAATATATATTGAATATATATTCAAAGTGCAGAAGGAAGGGAAGAAAGGAGGGCAGGAAAAAAAAAAAAAACCTGCCAACCATGAACATTCAACAACCCAACAAAGCTGCCTTTCAAATTGGAAGGGAAGATAGTTTTTCAGACAAGTAAAAGCTGAAGGACTTCATCACCGGTACAAGTTGAGCCTTACAGTACACATTAAAGGGACTTCCTCAAGCTGAAATGAAAAGTATGATAATAAATAACGGGAAATCATGTGAAACTATAAAACTGTTCAGGTAAATATATAGTTGAATTCAGAAAACTCTAGTGTTTCGTGGTGGTGGTAAATCTTGAGATTTCTTACAAAGCTGGTAAAGAGCAACTGTGAAAGGGAAGGTAGGAAAGGCAAATCTGCTTGACCACAAAGGCTTTTCTAGATGTATTAGTGAAAAGTACTTTTAGCAGTTCAGAAGGTGGAAACTGGCTTCCTTAAAATTCTGTCTACCATTTAGAAAATCTTCATTTACTTATACGTATCCTGTTTGAGGACCGCTGTCCCAGGACCACTGTCCTATCCAGTACTTCAGTTCCTTTGGCAATATCCCCCATTGTGCCCATCCACGTTCCGAAGGTGTCCCCGCTGGAGAGCTACTTCATGAGGAAATGTGTTCCATTTTTAGATGCACCTACTTAAAATTATTCCTTCAATTTCTTTGAGAATATCTATATTCTCAATAAATAACACGATATTTAATATATAATACAGATAATAAATATCTATATTATTCCTTAAATATCTTTAAGCCAGAATCTAGTTTCTTATAATTTTCATCAACTGATTTTAGTATACTGAGGTATCCAATTATTTTTCTTTCTTAAGATCTTTTACATGTTTGAAGATGGTTTTCATGTTTTCCTGACGTTTTCTTCAGGCTAGCAATCTAGCAATCTTTATCCCTCTTACCTATTCAAGCAAGATAATTTCAAGTCCGCATACCATCCTGGACATTTTTCCTTGGAATGGCCCCATTTCTCAATGATCCTTTTGAAATCTGGGGCCCAGCACTGAACCTGGTATTCTAAATGTGTTCTGAGCAGTGTAAATAGTGTGGGACTATCACTTTCCTTATTCTGTACACTCTAATCCATTTATCATAGCTTAGGTTTATATTTAGCTTTTTGTCTTAACAGCTCTATTATACCATTAACTCAGAATGAACTTAAGTCCAAGTATAATTTTTTTTTTCTTAAGTAGGCTGCACACGGGGCTTGAACTCACAGCCCTGAGTTCAAGACCTGAGCTAAGATCAAGAAAGCATTTAACCAACTGAGGCACCCAGGTACCTAAGCCCAGTAAAATTCTAAGCTCTCTTTCCTTGATTCTGTAAAATTGTTTTCTAGATACAAAGGTAAGACTTCAAATAACCTCCTTCATTTTTTTTTGTTGTTGTTAAATTTGTTTCAGTGACTTCTATTGAAATCTCTTAAATTCCTGATCTTAAAGTAACCCTATGAGGCTATTCACCTTGATTTTATGCCATCAAAAACTGATTTGCCATTAATGATTATCGAAGTTATCAATAACACGGTTAATGAGAACAGACAGCTGTGTGTGCCTCACACAAGCAGACATCCTTTGCTGACTGGCAAGATATTTTTATATTGTTACAGTCATATTATACCATAAAAAAGCACTCTCTGAGAAAGTATTTTCAATACTGAAACTGACCCACTGAATTACCATTCGGACTATCTATCTTTAAGCATAATTCTTGAATGGCTTGTATACCTTCTAGGCAAAGAGTTACTGAGCTCTGTGTCTGAGAATTCGGACTTTGATTCTAGTTGCCAGGGATACCGTATTGACTATGACAATGTTTCTCTCCTCTTAAATTCTATTAAGTAAACAACAAAGAAGTAGGCAAGAAAGCAAGATAACTTCTAAAAGTGATTAGGTAACATGAAGAAAATGAAACAGGCTGGGGGAATAGAGTCACAGGGTGGTTCTTTTAAGTCAAATAGTTAAAGAAGGCTTCCTTTAGGTGACTTCTAAGCGGGACTTAAATGAACAGAAAGAGCCAGCCTTGCAAAGATCAGGAACAGGAAAGAAGAGAAAAGGTCAAGGTGGCTAGGAAGAGTAAATACAGAAGCCTGTCCTAGCTATTTTGCAATCCTACTTTCTTTAGTTGTCTAGTCATTCTCAAATGTCCCAGAAAGATGCACTAGTACCAGTAGCCAACCGTGGACCTACAACCCTAGAGTTATAGCTCTGGGCTGATAGAACCCATTCTGGAGATTGGGGATGGGGATAAGGTGGGTGGTTATACTAGTCCTTAAAGACTAATGAGAAATCACAAGCCGTGATAGCCACCTTCATTCAGTGCTCATAACCATCCCCAATTCTACATACTTTGTAAAGAACCTATTATTGATCACACCAGAAAAAGAGTGAAGAATTCATGCAAATGAACAATGCCAGAAATACAAGTCAAAGAAAGTATCCTCTGTACTCAAGAACTACATAAACAAAGGTTTACCGCTTTCACAGATGTGTGGAAAATCTACTGGGGAACATAAAATAATTCCATTTAGCTATAGCACAGGACATACGAAGATTACCAAGGTTAAGATATAACGATAGGTTGGGGAAGTATCACTGAACAGTTTTTATGCCAAGCAGTTGAACTTGGTTCTGTATGAAACTGAGTGCTACGGCAAGTTTTCTGAGAATGGTAGTGGCTGACCCAGAAGCTCAGTGGAGAACATAGATTAGGAAAGGGGAGAAAGTCATAATAATAATAATGAAATAATAGTCATTATAATAATAAAAAGTCATTATAATAATGAATTAATTATAACTAAGAAGTAATGACTGCTTGGGGCACCTCGGCTTGGTGGCTTAGTCTGTTAAGTGTCCCACTCTTGATTTCAGCTCAGGACACAATCAGGGTGTGATTCAGCTCAGGGTCGTGAAACTGAGCCTGGGGTAAAACAAAAACAAAAACAAAAACAAAAAAAGAAGAAGAAAGAAAGAAAAAGAAAAAAAGTGAAGCTTGATTTTTCTGGTGTAGAATTGCATGGGATTGAATATAGGAGACAGAGGAGAAAAGGTCAAAAACACCAGAGGACCAATAGTTAATAAGAGTGACAAAAGAGAAACTATTGAAGATGACCATGAGGTTTTAGGCCTGATTGTACAAGAAATGAGGAAGCAGGACCTGTTTGAGAACAGACTCAAAACAACTCAGGAGGACCTGCTCTGGTCTCATCCTTGAAATAGTAGGTAAATGTGGGCAAATTCACTTTAACTTAGTGTCTATATTTACATTATGTAAAATGCTGGTGGCAGAGCGCAGTTGAACTAGATTACCTCAAATCTCCTTTCCAGGCAGTTCTGAGGTCTTTAGCATGTGGTTGTGAAATCTCTTGGACTATAAACAAATTTAAAGCAGGGATTGATTAAATTCTTCTGTCTAGAATATCAGCTTTATTTTGTTTATGACAAATAAATTAATAGATGCATATGCTTTTATAAAACCTTTAAATTAATAGATAAATGTAGATACATCTGTTTCCTCTCGAATTTCTCTAATACTGCAGTCATACTCGTCTCCGTGTATGTTTGTAAAACTCTGGGATTTTGCTAGTTTTGTAGCCAGTGTTTCAACATTATAGAATGAGTAATTTTCTGTACGTCCTTAAACATTTAAAGCCATATTTTCTTAGTAACTTCATTGGTTATAGACATCAATGTTTCTTTTTTTTTTTTTTTAAAGATTTTATTTATTTGAGAGAGAGAGCATGCGAGGAGAGAGGTTAGAGGGAGAAGCAGACTCCCTGCTGAGCAGGGAGCCCGATGCAGGACTCAATTCCCAGACTCCAGGATCATGACCTGAGTCGAAGGCAGTTGCTTAACCAACTGAGCCGCCCAGGTGCCCCTAGACATCAATGTTTCTAATAATATTGAGGTTAACACATTTTTATGTAAATCTTAATGTATAGCTATATATTATTTCCCCCAGATAAATATCTAGACCTGGTATGTTTCATTCAAAGGACAGAGTTTTAGGATTTTTGATATATTATCAAACTCTACTCCGGTTTGCTATTTATATTTTGTCCTGTGCATTTTGTAACACACAAGTTGTAAATAACTATGTATTTAATGTTTTTCTGTCCAGCTCTTTTATTCTTATGTCTTTTCACAGGCTGTAATTCTTCTATATTTCATCTATATTTTCTTTTCTTTTATCAGATATATGTACTATTGGTCCACCACCAATTTGATGTATGGTAATTTCTTCATAAGGGGGTATAAAGTAAAACTTTTAATTTTTAAATGTTTTCATTATCTGGCTACCACTGTCAACTTTCTTAGCACTTCTCATAGCTATCCAGTTTCTCTAGTTTTCCAGGTAATAATTTATCTACAATCTAGGGTGACTGAATTTTTTTTTAAAGATTTTATTTATTTATTAGACAAACAGAGATCACAAGTAGGCAGAGAGGCAGGCAGAGAAGTGGAAGCAGGCTCCCTGCCTAGCAGAGAGCAGAGAGCCGGATGCGGGGCTCGATCCCAGGACTCTGGGATCATGACCTGAGCTGAAGGCAGAGGCTTAACCCACTGAGCCACCCAGGCACCCCAGCAGAATTCTTTATTTTTTTAATGGTTCATAGTTCTCATTGCTTTTTGTTGTTTCACTGAGAATTTCCAGGACAATGTTGAAGGGAAACCAACCGGTCATGTGTCCTTGACTTGCTCATCTTTATATACCTCAGAGCACGTGGAATGTGTTCTAAAATATGTACCGAGGAGCCGAGTGATCTCAAGTTTTCTGGTGAAATCTGACACGCAGACGTTACGGTCCCCATTTGATAGATGGAGAAACTGAGGCTCAGGGTTACAGGGCAGCCACAGAGCCCGGGGCCAATCTGAAAAGGACAGCTCCTGCACTCACACATGCTTCCGGAGGAGGTGAGCAGCGGCCTTCCGGATCCCTCCGGGTCCCTCCCTCCGCACTGCGGGACTGCGCGGTCACTCCCGCGGCGGCTCCGCCCTGGGGCGGCGCTGTCACGCTCCATCCTGCATCCCTGCCCCCTCCGCGAGGCTCGGGAGCACCCGGGCGTGGCCCGCCCCGCCCCGCGCCGCCCCGCCCCGCCCCGCGGCCCGCTCGCCTGCCGTCTGCCCCCTGGAGGCCAGCGGGCCGCACTGCGCGCGGGCGGGGAGGGGCGGGGCGGGGCGGGGCGGGGCAGGCCTGGAGCGCGGATTCCGGTGCAGCCTCGCCCCGAGACCCCGGGCCATGGCGCGGGTGCTCATCGTGGGCACCGGGCTGACGGGAAGCCTGTGCGCAGCGCTGCTCAGGAAGGAGGCACCCCGTCCAGTGCACCTCACGGTGTGGGACGAGGCTGGGGACTCAGGTGGGTCGTGGGGTGGTCGAAACCGGGGAAAGGAAGCCGGCGCCTGTGGGCGGCCCACCCCGGAAGGTCTATGGGACGATCCGGTCACCGCGGCCGCCACCTCCCGGCGGCGACGTGCGCGGTGCACGCCCGGTCACGTGACTGGAGCCTCCAGCTCCCCGGAGAGGCCCGAGGGGGGCGGAGTAGGCGGTGACCCCGAGCCGGGCCGGGAGCGAGGGGGTGGGAGGAGCCCCGCGGGGCGGGGAGGGAGGAGCGGGAGGAGGAGCCCCGCGGGGCGGGGGAGGGAGGAGCGGGAGGAGTCCCGCGGGGCGGGGGAGGGAGGAGCGGGAGGAGCCCTGGGTAGGAGGAGGGGGGCCACTAGGGGAAGTAGGAAGATCCCCGCGCGGGGTCAGGAGTGTGAGGAGGGAGGACACCCGGGATGAGGAGTGGGGGTTTGGGGCGGGAGGCGAGGAGCCCCGCGCGGGTGAGGGAGGAGGAGGGAACCTAGGGTAGGAGGAGAGAGGGGGTAGGGAGAGAGGGAGCCTCGGTCAGGGTCCAGGGTCCGGGAGGAGCAGGAGGAGCCCAAGGCTGGAGAAGTGGGCGTGGCGGGGGCGGGGAGCAGGAGAGGGAACCTTGGTCAGGGTCCGGGAAGAGCGGGAGGAGCCATGGCGGGAGGAGCACAGGTGGGGGGACCAAGAGCGGCAAGAGTCCCGCGCGCGGGGTCAGGGAGGAGGAGCGGGAGGTGTGCCACCCCGAGGGCAGCCCAGGAGCTCTGGCAGTTTGCACAGCTTGGGCCTACCCCTTTGGCCGGTGCGCGGTTTTTGTTGTTGTTGTTGTTGTTGTTGTTGTTTTTGGTCTTGGCCTGGCCGTGCCTTCCAGGCCATCTGCACATGTCGAGGATCCCAAAGTGCCCTTGGACCAGGACTACCAAGATCTAGTTGACAGACTCCTTTTTTTCTCACGAAACCCGTTTGCGGGAGTGAAAACATGCTCCCAGTGATTATTCTGACATCTCATGCGTTATTTCGTTGGATGTTCTCCACGCACCCATTCCTGTTGTTTAAATGTGTGAATCCAGGGGCCAGGCACAGCGCTGAACACCGCTGCACCATCCATGTGTCCTCTTTAAAAATACCTCGCAGTGACCAAGTTGTCCTAACGATGGTAGAGGACAAAGCCCAAAACTAAAACAGAAAAGTACAACAAAGTCCTCTTTTAATACAGCCCTAATCTCTTTGGCCCACCCTGGGCTTTATAATTGAGGCGTTCATTGCAGAAGGGTCATTCTGATGCACTAAGATGTTTCTTGTGAATGAATCCAAGGGGGAAGAATGACGACAGCCAGGAGCCCTTATAATCCACAGAGCACGGTTGACTTGGGTGCCCAGTACATCACCTGCACACCTCACTATGCCAAGCAACACCAAAGGTGAGTTAGTTGGCAGGAATCAATCTTCATGCCCATAGGATGTAAAAAGATAGAAATCATCCATTATTAACAGAGTGACACCTTGCCCCTTGTGATATAGTGAAGATATTATAATAACGTTGTTGATGGCATTAGCCTGAGTAAAGTGGGAAAGCCAGAGTCCGTGCCTCCCAAGGGTGGTCCTGGAGACTGGAAGAGATGCTACATCCAGGGCTCAATTTAAATATGAATTACTGTGCTGTGTTGGCAAAGAGGACAACTAGTCCTGGGGGAACTGCATACCTTTCTATGTTCACTGTAATTTTGAGATATACAAGAAAATAGGCCTTCAGCTAATGTCAGCGAGATTTATAGATTGGCAAAACGTTTCTGTTCTTCACCTGGATGATGGTTTACTGATTTTTTAAGGCAGCTCTGTGCCCCACGTGGGGCTTGAACTCACCACCCCAAGATCAAGAGTCCCCTGCTCTATTGACTGAGCCAGCCAGGTGCCCCTTGAATTGTTTTTTTAACATAAAACATGCACTGAGTCGATCATATGAAGATTTCTAGTTATTATGTAGAGTGATACTCTCTAAGAATTCTTGGAAGAGAATACAGTATTTTTAAGCTAACAGTGGTATTTAATTATATCATATATATTGATTTATTTCAGTTTTTATGATGACCTGTTAGCTCTTGGCATTTTGAAGCCTCTGACCTCTCCTATTGAAGGGATGGTGATGAAAGAAGGAGACTGTAACTTTGTGGCACCTCAAGGAGTTTCTTCAATTATTAAGCACTACTTGAAAGAATCAGGTGGGGATAGGAGTTTCTCTGCTTTCTTTTACTATTGGCATTTAAAGATAAAAGTTGTAAACATAATTAAATATGAATACTATAAAGAAAGTTATAAAATAGATGTTCTTCTCTTTACCAATAGCTGATTTTCTTTTATCCCTAATAATAGTTTTCAATGTATGCTTCTAGAAAGAACTTTATGCATCTGTATATTGATTTACATGGCTGCCTCTATTTATTTATTCATGTGTGTTTATATTTATTCTTTTTAAGTATACCAATGGGATTATTTTTCATAAACCGACACCTTGTTTGGTATTTGTAATTAATCAGCCCCCCCCCCATTATCTATCTGTCTGTCTCCTATTTGTTCTGTTTCTCTGGAAAATCCTAATACATCATCATCAACTGAATCATATCTTAGGTCTGTTTTCATAACAACAAATTCAATATGCTTCATTTTTCTCAGTGCCTGTTCAGTGTTATATGATTTCTTTATGAATAAATAAATTCATTGCTTATGTCAGGATTAGCTTTCTGGAAAATATTTAGGTTGTTGGAGGGGTGAGGGGTTGTTTTGGTTTTTGCTAATACCGATATTGCTGCATTGTTTAAGTGTGACACACTTCTTTAGGCCTATCTGTAGGACCAGTTTCTAACAGGACAGTTGCTGTGTCAAATGGTATTGTGAATTTTTAATTAAACTAGGTGGTTCCATCTGCTCCTTTTAAAGAATATCTCATCAGCAGTAATGAGGAGGCACCTGGGTGGCTCAGTCAGTTAAGCATCTGATTCTTGGTTTTGGCTCAGGTCATGATCTCAGGGTGGTGAGATGGAGCCCCACTTCAAGCTCAGTGGGGAATCTGCTTGAGATTCTCTCCCTCTCCCTCTGCGCCCCCACTCGTGTTCTCTCTCTCTCTAAAATAAGTAAATAAATCTTTTAAAAAAATTTTAAAAAGCAGTGAATGAAAATTTCTCTCTCTGCGCATCTAGGTATTTTATAACTAAAAATTTTAAATTTTTGCCAGTGGGGCAGGTTAAAGCTGGTGTCTTTTTGTGTTCTGATTTGTACTTATGTAATTATGACTGAGTTCATGCATCTTTGTGTTTTTACTGAGCTCTTTCCACCTTTTTTCTTGAATTTCTTATTTATGACTTTGTCCCTTTTCTATTAGGATTTTCATTTATTCTTTGTGTATTTTATGAATGTTTTGAAAATGACCTTTTTTAGAATAGTTGATAAATGATCTTGGATGATAAACAATTTTTTTTAATCTTTTAATTTTTTAAAGATTTTATTTATTTTTGTGAGAGAGAGAGAGAGAGAGCGCATGTGCGTGAGGCAGCAGGCAGAAGGAGAAACAGATTCCTCGCTGAGCAGGGCGCCCAACCCAGAACTCAATCTCAGGCCATGGGAACATGACCTAAGCCTAAGGCAGATGCTTCACTGATTGAGCCCACCAGGAGCCCAACATTTTTGTTGTTGTTGTTGTTGTTTTTAAATATTTTTTAAATTTATTTATTTATTTACTTACTTATTTATTTATTTATTTGACAGAGAGAGATCACAAGTAGGCAGAGAGGCAGGCAGAGAGGGGGAAAAGCAGGCTCCCTGGTGAGCAGAGAGCCCGATGCGGGACTCGATCCCAGGACCCTGAGATCATGACCTGAACCGAAGGCAGAGGCTTAACCCACTGAGCCACCCAGGCGCCCCTAATTGTTTTCTTTAAACAGAAGTAAGTTTCTTGATGAATCATAAATTAAGTAAGTTGCCCAATTCAAGATCACTGATGAAAGGTGCTGAGACGTTTTGTTCCATAAACTATTTCAAAAATAATTACTGTTTTGATTTTCTTCATCAAGTTTTACTTTTTAAGAACCCCAAGAATCCCTGATAGCAGGCAAGGGAGGGGTCGGTTAGATTCGATATACATACAGCATGGGGACATAGTAGATGTCATTCTGGTTAGACAGCTTCTCCATCGAGAATTCAGGCAATGATGGTGTATTACTTGGGATTTTCCAGAGAAACAGAGCCAACAGGAGCTAGATATAATAGGATGTGTGTGTGTGTGTGTGTATTTATATAAATATATATAAATATATAAAATTTAAATATAATTATATAATATTTAATATATTATAATGTATATAATATATCTAATATGATCATATAATATATAATATATAATGTAAAATATATAATATAATATATATTTATATTGTATTATATATAGAAATATATATAATAGGATATATTTGTATATATATGATTTATTATAAAGAATTGGCTCGTGATTAGGGAGGTTGGCAGGTGTCAAGATCTGCAGGATGAATTGGCAAATCCCAATACAGGGGGTAGAAAAACCCCCAACAACCCCTTCTCCCAGTTTGAAGGCTGTCGGTCAGGAAGAATTCTTTCCTTTTGGGGAGGGTCAGTCTTTTTGTTTCATACGTGCCAAAGACTGGATGAGAGCCATGGGCATTAAGTAGGGAGGGTAATCTACCTTACTCATTCTACCAATTTAAATGTTAATCTCATCCAAAATCATTGTCAAAGACAGAGCCAGAATAATATTTGACCAAATATCTTGGGGGGGGAACTCCATGACCCAGTCAAGCTAGTGCATAAAATTAACCCTTACAGAATGTGATAGCATTGGATATTTTGTAGAATGTCACCGTCAGCTTCATCTCTTGCCACCATTTAACTTTTAAAAATCTCATTTCCATCATGATTTGACCCAATTTGGATGTGCCTATTTACTGAAAGCCTCAAGTACTTACTAGCTGTATTATATGTCCTATCCATCCGTCCATGAACGCACACATCCCTTCAGTAAACACTTACTGAGTACTTCCTATATGCCAGATGCTGTGTTAGGTGCTAAGGATACAAAAACCAAAGTCCTTGCCCTCTTACATCTGATATTCTTCTGGCAGAGGAACAGTCCTTGAATACACAGTACCTACATCCTTCTCTTGGTAGGTGTTTGGGAGAATATATATTTTATCTTCCAGTTTTGCTTTGGAAGCTCTTGGGAAAAGAGATCATATTTAATTATTTGTGACTCACATAGAGTTTAACCTACCCTGTACATGGCACGTAGGTATCATGATACACAAATTTCTGTATTTATTTCTATACATGTATATGTACATATGTACATTGGAGTATATATTAAATGTATTTAATATAGTTGTGAAATACATTTAATATATATATTAGGTGATTATCAGTTTTAATTTAACCAATTCTTAGTGAAAACCTGTTTATATTTTCCATTTGTACAGCCTCTTGAGACAATGGTTTTATAGACTTTTTTATCCCTATGTAAAATATTATTTACTTCAAAAGGTAATTTTTAAAAAAGATTACATACTACTGGTTGAAAATTTGGAAGATACAGAAAAATCGCAGGAAAAATGTCACAATAAGTTCATTTTGTGACCTACTTTCTCCTTTTTTAAAAGATGAATTTTTACATAATCGAGTTCAAGATCTATATAATTTGAGTGTATGTAAATGATTTATTTTAATATTATCTTCCTAATACTTAAAGAGTCTTTTTCCCCTGTTTACCCAAATCTGTTGTTAAAGAATTTATAGACCTTACTATACTATTTTAAATTTTGTAATTGTGTCCTTTTAAACATCCTTTAAACTTCTGTGAAGTTTTCTCTCCACTACATGATCCACAAGAGTGTTTTCATGTTTCCACAACATAAGTGAGAGAGTTTCTGGAATCGGAGTGACCTGGAACTAACTAACCCCTTCCTAGCTATGTAATAATAGGAAAGTTTAAAAATCTATACCCTGGTTCTTTCATTGGAAGAAATAAGAGTAATCACAGTACCCACTGCAAAGTGTTATCGTGAGGACTGTGGGATAGAACACATTCATTGTCAACGCAAGCAAGTAGTAGGCCAGGTACATAGAAACCTTTTGCTACATGTTGGTTTAAAAAAATAATCTCCTTAATGAAGTTGACCTTGCATAAGAATCAAATTGTTGAGTCATTCCAAAACTATTCTACAGTTTGGAATCGATAAAATTTATAACTCCACAGTCTATTGGATGAACCAGCCCGGTTTTGATTGGACCAGACTTCTAGGAAATTATCTGTGTGGGAAACGACTAATCACATATGCTTTCGAATGTGTTCCAATCTCTAAAACCAATATTGAGCAGAACAACTTCCGAGAACAGCGGCCCGAGCAGCAGAGATGCTGGTCCAGTAGGTCTGGCTTACTTAGGTCTAGAACGCACCTTTGTACCAGGATGCAAGGTGCCGCCAGTGCTGCCGGCCTGGGGCCCACACTTAAGAGAACCACGGACGTACACCTTGCAGAATACTTTGGGACCCTTGGGATGAATGCCCAGGACATCCGGCTGGGTATGGAGAAGTTCTAGGTCCGTGGACTTCAGTTCCCTGAAACACGCACGCCTGCTCACCACCGTCAGTAACCGTGCACCGCTCTTTCCCACGGCACCCTAAATAAATAGAACCAAGTGAAGGGAATGATTCAGGCCGGCCTGGAGCCGGCAGGTGGGAGTTGAAGGGGCCTCGGGGCAAGCAGGCAGGTTGGAGGCTGTTTACTAGCCCTTGCTCCAGTGTATGAACGGAAGGAAGCTAATTGCCTCGAAGAGATGGACCCCTGGGCCTAGTTAGCACCTTGTTCCTTCTAATGTATTTGCGTTTGATTTAAAAACTGTGAATGTTCACAGTGTTGCCGCGGGATTCCAGGGACAGTGAAAGCATCTGAGGTCTAGAGACGTGACATGGAGGAAATGAGTGGTTTTGGATGGATAAGACATACCTGACACAGGCAGATATTCCGAATCAATGTCAGAACGACGGCGGAGGGACCTTCTAGGGGAGGAGGATGGAGTCGCCGCAGGAAGGAAGCTTCAGGGCCAGGCGGACATAAGCCAAATGTTGCGTGGCTGGGATGCTGCGGTGTCCCCTGGAAATGATGAATGAGATCTTCCAACGTGCTTTTGTGTCTTGTTCTTTCTTCATTTCTTGCTTTTCTGTTCCTGAGACTGCATACAAGTAGATTTGTAAAAACAAATCCAAGTTTTCTGGTAATTGAGATGTGAGGTAAGTGCTTGGTCTCACGGAGACTTAGCGATCCAGGGATGTTTTCTTATCTTTTGGTTTATGGTTCCTGATTCATTCTCTTCAACAGGCCCTTATGAAATCCCAGTATGTGGCGGGTACTCTACTGTGTATGAGATACGGTCTTCACAGACACAGAGCAGACATGGTTCCTTCCCTGGGGGCTCACAGGTTAATAGGGAAGAAAATATTAGTCAAATAACTACTCAGGTAATTATCAAAATACCTTGGTGATAAAGAAGAAAAATGCGATGAGAGGACATTCTCAACCGTATTTCTCTTCATTCTAATTTTTTTTTTTAAGATTTTATTTATTTGACAGAAATCACAAGTAGGCAGAGAGGCAGGCAGAGAGAGAGAGGGAGGAAGGATCCCTGCCGAGCAGAGAGCCCCATGTGGGGCTGGATCCCAGGACCCTGGGATCATGACCTGAGCCAAAGGCAGAGGCTTTAACCTACTGAGCCACCCAGGTGCCCCCTCATTCCAATTCTTAATAAAGGTAAATTGATCCACTAACGAGAGCTTGGATCTCGTTCACAGACACCTTTTTCGGGTTAAGAGGGAAGGAGAGGAATTCCGACCTAATGGGGAAGTGAGCCCCGAGAAGGGCACCTTCACTGTTCAGTTCCCCTGAATGGATCCAGTCTGTAACTTCTCTCTCTCTGCCTGTTCATACTGGAAGCCCTGAGGATGTGAACGTGACCTTGCTTTTGGAACAGGTGCTGATGTCTGCTTCAGACACCATGTGACTCAGGTCAACCTGCGGAATGACAAGTGGGAAGTCTCCAAGGAAACAGGTCCCCCCGAGCAGTTTGATATCGTCGTCCTCACGATGCCGGTTCCCCAGATTCTGCAGCTCCAAGGCGACATCGCAAACTGTGAGTCCCGGCCTGGCCGTCCACCTCACGGAGTGGGGTTCCTCTCACGGGGCGTGAGCTTAGTGTAACTCTCTCAGCAAAAGGCACATTGTGGATTCTATTGATTTGTGTGTTTTAGAAACTGATGCTATGGCCTTGCCTGTGATGTTAGTCAAGGTTAAACTTAAATCCACAGAATTTTTTTTAACCGGTTAAATCTTGAACATTGTTCTTACCGCCCTTGCTTTTAAGACGTAAATATTTTTGATGAACATGCAGTTGATTGGCCTAAAGGAAGACCAGTTTCTTTGTGTCCATCCTGGAGATAAGAAGGTTTTTATGATACAAGAATTGATCGCATTGGGCACCTGGGTGGCTCAGCTGGTCAAGCATGTGCCTTTTTCTCCGGTCATGATCTCAGGGTCGGTCATGATCCCAGGGTCTTGGGATTGAGCCCCTCATTGGGCTTCCTGCCCAGCGGGAAGTCTGCTTCTCCCTCTGCCTGCTGCTCCCCCTGCTTGTGCTCTCTCTCTCTTTCTCTCTCAAATAAATACATGAAATCTTAAAAAAAAAAAAAAAAGAAAGAAAAGAAAATGTTTACGAATGATTGACTTGGTACACTTGAGGGAGGGTAAGTTTCTTCCGGTTTTATCAGCTCAAATCAGAATTGGACCCCATGCAAATAAGCCTGTGTTTAGTTCATTGTAAAGAAGCCACCCTAGCTATAAAGGGTTAAAACAGAACACTCCACAGTAATCCTTTACCACCTGTGGGTCTAAAACAAAGGGATTGTTTATTTATTTGGGAGGGAGGGAGGGTGAGGGAGTACAGGGGAGGGGCAGAGGGAGAGGATCTCAAGCTGACTCCCCACTAAGCGGGGAGCCAAGCAGGGCTCCCTCTCCTGACACTGAGATCCTGACCTGAGCTGAAATCAAGAGTCCAGTGCTCAACAGACTGAGCCACCCAGGTGCCCCTAAAACGCAGGGCTCAAAAACATCTGGTTTCCCTTTAAGTTCTAAATCTCAACGCGGAGCTCAGTATGAGGACTGTTCACGTCTCCTCTCTGTGTTTTCCCGAGAGCCTTAAATAGTGCTTGTGTGATTATTACCCGGTTGCGTTATAGTTCCCCTGCGGAAGACGTCCATCTACGTAGCCACGTGCTGCCACCTCGTGGACGCTTTCTGAAGTGCAGGTCCCCTCAGAATTTTAAAACCCGAGAGGACTCTGAAGAAGAGCGCAAAACACACATAAAACTGCGACTGTAATTCACGAAACCCCACAGTGTCACAGGGAAATCACCTTAGACCCACAATAACTGAGTAACGTGCTCAGATGTGCTAGTCAGTGACAGGCCTCGCCTTCCTACCAACTGTGAGCAGCCCTGAGCCTTTGCTTTCTTTGCATTTCCTTCTCACCCTGCCCCCCTTTTAAATCACGTCTGCCCTTTTGGATCAATGCAAATACCATCACTCCCGTGAGAGACTTCCCTGTTGATTACACGTGGTCTGGGTTTTCCCTTATGCACTGCTTCCTCCTCACTTCCCTTTTTACAGAAGACATGGAGCTACTATTTTTTTTTTTTTTTGGTCAATTACTTGTTACGTTTATTACATTATTTCAGGTGGGAGAACAGGGAATCCTTATGGCCCATGTAGACAACCTCTTATAATTCGTGATTTGCCTTTTGGTTCCATAACTGTGCTGCTCTCTATGTATTAATATCACAGGATTATCTCCCTTGATCCTAAGACATTATTACTATGATTATTTCCATTCTTGGTGCTGAAGGAATAAGCATCTCTTTTATTCCTCAACTTGATTATAAGCTCCTTGTGGTCAGATGACCTTGGAGTCCACTGGTTCTGGCTTGGTTCCTCGTTTGGGTGCTGGGATAAAATGGTGAACCTTGAGGGTTTCAGGATCAGAAGGGACCTCGGGGCTCATTGCTTCTGCCACCCTGACTTTAGAGATGAGGAGTTTCAGATGTGATCTTCCTTCTACAAGATCACACGATTTAGTGGGGACCATGCGGGAGAAAGTGCGGCTGAGGAAAAGGAGGCACCCTTCAAATATTATTGTCTTGATTTCGTGTTTCCTATACATTTATTTACTTATTTATTTAAAAAGATTTATTTATTTTAGTGGGGGCAGAGAGAGGAGGAGAGAGGGAATCCTCAACAGACTCCCCGCTGAGCAGGGTGCCCAACATGGGGCTCTATCCCAAGACCCCGATATCGTGACGTGGGCCGAAAGCAGGAGTCAGACGGTTAACCGATTAATCCACCCAGGCGCCCCCATGCTTCTGACACATTTAAATACAACTCTTCATTGGGCTGTCATAGGGCATCTGGGTCTGAATCCACATACTGGACTTCCTGCTGGAGTTCTTGCCTCCTCCTGCTAGGAGCGTAGCAGAGGCAGTGGAGAGATTGTGGGGTGAACAGTGTAGAATAAAGCAGGTGGGACATGGTGAGCCACTGTCAGACTTGAGGACCCTGGAAGGTTCCGCTCCCTGTGCCATACGGCCTCCCACACGCCTAGATGGAAGGAACGCGTGCATTAAAGTCTCCTGATGGATTTGTGTCCTTACTGGTTTGGTACGCTCTCTCACATCCTTAACACCAGGAGGGTGATTTGTTTTCTTGAGACAGGAAGGAATGAACACATGAACCAGGTCGTACCGGCGTGTCAGGGAGCACCCCACTCCCCCCTGTAACTCACTCCTGCTCCCAACACATGACTGCACTGTGTTCATCTGAGCAGAAACATGGTCAGATAGCCCCTGGGGGGAAAACATGCGAGTCCTCCCCTCCCTTGACCCACGAAACACTGCTAGTTTTAGACCAAAGGCCTCAAGCTGCCGAACATTACTTCAAGAGGCAAATGAATGAAAGCAAAAGGTCCACATGCAGCCCATCAGAAGGGTCACTAAGAGGAAGCTGAGGGGGAGGCAGGGACAGCCGTAGAGTGGGTCTCCTCCCTTCAGGAATCCCAGTCTGCTCCGGGCTCTTGGAATGAACCATACGTTCTTCCTGCATTTCTTCCTAAAGCTCCCTTTGCCTGCCATACTTGGACACGGGCTCTGTCTCCCTCCTTCAGGACCCAGCCCCCCCCACCCCCCGCCCCAAAGAGTTCCCTGGGCTTCTCTGACAGCTCTGCTCTTCAGGGGAAGCACCTTGGAGACTTCTCCAGCACCGCATCTTTACACTCATTTAGCTCCTGGCACTGGCTCCTCCGCAGAGGACAGTTCAGGGCACTGACGGAGGGAGCCAGAGTTTGTAACCCAACCATGCTGCTCACAGTCTGGGTGATCTGGAGCAAGCTACTCAACCTCTCTGATCTTGTGTACAAAATGAGGACAAATCACATGATTGACACATGGGATCATAGCAAAGACTCCGTGAGATACTCTGAGTACAGACCTTGTCAGGGCGTTGGACACATAGTAAGCACATTGCTTTTATTAATACTCTTGGTGACTTTTTAATGTTTGTGACTTCTTTACCACTAGGGAAAAGGTCTGGGCATCTGTTTAAGGGGTGGAATGCTTGGTGTTGGGGATTAAGGCAGCCAGAAAAATCCCCTGTATCAGTAAGGATACTAGAAACACAGCAGGGAACATTTTGCTCTTGTGCAAAACAGTGGCATATTTGGATCCAGAACTGTGTGGTCCCTTCACCTTAGAGTCTACAAAACTGAGGTGCAAGGAATGTCTGTTTCTTCGTAGCTCTAAGTTTACAAATTACTCTCTCCTCCTACCTGGTAGAAAACCCTTGTCCTCATTAGGCTATTTTCCTTTCCCTTTGGGGTCACATGGGAGGGAATTCCAGGCTTCCACAGTGCCAGGGAACTGGGGGTGGGGGGCATGGCTCCCAAGTGCACAAGGTTGCCAGCATTATTGGCGCTCCTCTGCTCTGTCGGCTTGGGCCCAGCCTGGTCCTCGGACATCGCTCAGCCTGGCAGAACTCAACGGACATCTCAGGAGACAGCCATGCACCGACCCAGAAGCCTTTCCGCTGCCCTGCAGGCCTAGACACATGCTCCTCGTGAATTCTGCTGCAAGTTGCCTCCCAGGCAGAGCACGCGAGTGGGAGCCAGGTCTCTACCCTGACAGGAACCCCCCGAAACTCCTCCCTTTTAGACTTTTCACGTCCAGCCCCTGCCTTTCCATTTTCAGGGATCCACCACCTTGACCCACCTTACAATCCTGCAACAGAAAGACGCTTTACTTCCTTCTGACTCTGTGAGGGGCGAGGGTGGGGTCGTCCCCACTTTTAGAAACCCACCACTGAGCATCTCTTTCCTAGACTGGAGGGTGGGGACGAGAGAGTTGGTTTTCCCTAAATTACTCATCTTGGTAAATTCTCGAATTTCTGGTTGCTGTGTGGTATAAAAGCTGGAACGAAGCTGCAGGAGCTCTCGAGAAGGCACACTGCAATAACAGAAGGGTCACGCGTGTACGTGACTAGAGGCTAGCAGAAGGAAATGGGGAGAACATGGAATTGCTCTTAAAATTCTGGAATACAACCACCGAAGGAGCAGCAGCAACCTGGAAGCCTTAAAGTCAATAATTTCAGATGAAGGACATGCACTCTAATTTGTCGTAGAGAAGTTTGCCCTCCGACAAAATATTATCTGTTTGACTGAGTCTAAAGCAAATGCTTACTTTGCTTCTATTTTAAAAATTATAACTCGTTTACCCAAAATGTAATAGTTTAAGATTTTCAGTAGACTCACAGATGGGAGGTTTTTGATGAACTGTTAAAGGTCTTGGAGCACTGCATCAAAAACTAATGATATATTATGTGGTGACTAACATCACACAATTAAAAAAAAAATTTGGATATATAAAATTTAAAAAATTTTTTAAATTGTCAAATTATTGTAAAAAAAATTAAGATCTTGGGGGTCCATTTCTAAATTTGTAAAGATGTCCCAGAGAATATCTGCTTTTTCAGTAGTTATCTGTGTGCATCCCTTTTCTCCACATTGGTGCCCTAACAAGCAAGCAGGCAGAACTC